AAAAAAAAAAACAACGTAATATGCACAACAATGTTAAGCTTTATTCAGGAACAACTAGATTCATCTAATTTAGCAGGAACTTCAAGAAGCAGTAAAAATAAATTCGCAAAAAGGTTCAAATCGAGTTGGGATTATACATCTGAAGACAGACTTTCAGTCGCCGAGAAGATAATGATTCAACCGAGACCAAATCAACGACACGAAAACTAAGTAAAATACAAACGAATTATTTTCTTGAAAAGGGCTCAAGCAAGCTGTAGCCAAAAAAACTGAATTCAGACAAAAATTGGGAATTACCAACGACGACGACGACGATGAGACTACGGTAGTGTCCAGCAACTGCATTTTGCTTCTGGTTCTCGAATTCTGCAGCTTGAAATACGATACAGTTAAGAAAAAATCATGTCGAGCAAAACTTACTTCAAGATTTTTTAACTTTTTTAGGCAAAAAAACAAAATCCCCACTCGAAATCGTTTGCCGCGCCGGCTGTTACTGCGAATTCCAAGATCAAGAGACAACAGCTGCAAAGAACCGGAGATGGCCATTGTTGAATGTAAGCCGAGAAAATAAAATTGTTATTGGGAGCATTATATATGTGTGGCTTGTATAACGCCAAGCAAGATGGAGGATAATAAGGAAGGGAACTACTACCAAATATAGAGACTCCCTTTGCGGAACCATTCTGTCGGGATTTGTAACCGTTAGATCAATAATCTTGATAGTTACATGATGATCCAACAATTACAAACTTGGACGGAATAGTTCTGTAACAGAACTGCAATATTTCCCACAAATATATCAAATGTAAGTTATAGCATTTTTGGTCGGATCCACTCAATATGAGTTTACGTACATCCTACGATATTATTATGTACTTGTAGCATTTTTAACAAACAAAATAAGTACTATTAATCTTATTAAAGAGATACAATGATCAATGTAATTTGTTTTTTACTTTTTTAAACTAAATTGAACATAATGATATTGTGCAAGATGAGCCATCGGTACGCGATTCAACCGATTTTACCGTCTATTTTACTGGTTTTAATAAATATTAAATTAATCTATTATTATAATATAAATAATATATAAAAATAACTACAATAAAAACTAAAATTATCTAAAATCAAATAACAGTGTAAATATATTAAAATTTAAGTGTAGAACTTTCTATTTATATAAATAAATTCATAAAAATATGTTATAAAAATATTTTTTTTTAAAAAAAAAATCTGGTATGCTTGGTATTTTAGCCGGTATTGTCCGGTAAAACCATTATTTTCCGGTATGAAATATTTTGGCCAAAACGGTATTTTGAAGGTAATCATGCCGGTTGGACAACCGGTATCCGGTATTACCAGTAATACCGGCCGATACATGCTGTATTTAAAACACTGGTATTGTGGGAATATTAAAAAAAAAAAGTTATTATTTTAATGCAAGTAGGAATAGACATGGCCACAAACCTACTCGGCCCGGATTTTACAAGTTCATTGAACCAGAACTTTGACCATACGGGTCGGTTCTGATTCTTAGTTTTTTTGTTTTTGGTCCCAGCAGTCCGGGATGGGCCGGGTCCAGCCGCGGGTTGGAAGACGGGCAACATTCGTAATTTTTGTTTTTTTATAGGTCGGGCTAGGTCCAAACCGGCCCATAGACATGACCAGGCCGGTTACGAGCCATCTAATTGAGGCCCGCTGACCCGGTGGACTGAGCCGGGCCGGGCTGTGTTACGGCTTGTTGACTAGCCACGTCTAAGTAGGAAGAAGTGAAGTGGAAAAAAATAAAAAACATGAACTTGAACAATATAAATTAGAAGAAAGTTTAGGGGGTGAATTAGAAAATGTCCTTTCCTTATCCATCGGAATTTGTCCAGTGCATGATAACCGCGTGCTACAATATAACGGCGAAGAGGTTTGTCTAATGTAATGCATAACACGTGGTACAAACAACACAACCGAGAGTACCCACTCTCTTTCTTTGTACGTGGCGATAAGACAAATGCGAGTGTAGCCAATGCACACGGCAATAAATGTTTGGACCGCTTTGATGCTACTAATCTACGGTTTTGTTATGAAATCTTTATACAACAAGTAAATTTATTATATTTTTTGATTACTTAAATAACACTAATATAATTTTATTAATATGGTATGATTTATTTGTTGTATATAGAAGGTTGGCTCCACTATGGAGCCAACTGTTGACTTCACAGCAAAACCGACTAATTTATGAAACCGACCACATCAAATGATGCAAAACTTATGGAAGGCATACTAGAAAAAAGTTGTCTCATAAATAAAGTTAATTAATGACAACAAAATTGTGATTTCAAGAATCTGGTAGGCGGTAAATATAGATTAAGCTACAAGTACATTTCTTTATTTTTGTTCTATTACCCAAAATTTCGCTCGACGGAGAGATCGTCTACGGAAAATAAGTCTACGTTTGGGTGGAAAGATTTATTGAGTGATTTAAAATTTATAAATTTCAAATTTATTAGTTTAAATTCTCATAATGTTAGGATGATATTAGAAGTTGAAGTATTTCAAATTCACGTACGTTAGATAAATTTTAGTTATTATTCTGAAAGATTTAAATGATTCTCTAGTCATTTGAAATCCATTTTTTTATTCCACCGTTAACGACTACATCGTTCACGTGTATGACTATTCATTTAGATTCATCACCACCATGAGACCACAACCATGATTCAACTATTGTTATCTTCAATATCATTGTAATTGTTGTGATTAGTGGTTGAAAACCATAGGTAATGTGCAAATAAAAATAGCATAAGGAGATTCAACGACAACTATAAAGTCTATGTTTGTAAAATTAGCTGATAAGCTAGCTTATAGCTAATCAGTAAATCTTAATTAACTTATAGCTGAAAAGCTAGCTTATATAATAAAAGTTTTTGGTAAAATTAGCTCAGCTGATAAGCTAGCTGAAAGAAAAATTGTAACGAGCTTATTTGAAAAGCTACCCAAAGAAGATTATCCTATAAGCTCGAACTTTTTTACCAAACAGAGCTTATTTGAATATAGAGAGCTTAACTAATTAAATAAATTAAAAGCTAATTCAAAGCCAAACGCGATTTGGGACATGATTGACTATAAACATTAACTGATTTACTCTTTTTAATGTTAGCTATATAATTAAATAATAGCAATCAATTTTCAATAATCTTTCTCATATTTTGAAATCACATCAACTTTAGTCATTACGTGTCAAATATTATTTAAATATAAACTCAAAATCTCACTCAATCCCTTATTCAATTAAACTTATTCAAAATTGACTCACTTAAACAAATAATTTTAATCAAAATCGATTTTATTTATATCCAAAACCGTTTAACATAAGCGTCTCATATAAAACATTCCCTGGAGATTGAAATTAATATTGGTGTGCTCAAAAAAGAAACTTTGTCACTTCGATTAAAGTTTACTCCTATTGTCGAGCAAAAAAGATTTTGAAACGAGATTCTAGTAAACTAATTAACATCGACACTTTGGAGTTTGGATGCAACAAATGGGTAAATTATGTTGGGATATCAGCCCAAGATCATAATTATAATCTAAACTTATATAAAAGGCATTTTATTTACTAGAATTAGTAATAATTAAGAAAAGTTAAAGGTAATTAAAAATTCTATTTTCATCAAGTATTTTGTTTAATTATTTTAGTTAATTGTTTTATCTCATAACACATTTTCAATACAACTTACCATGATTTTTCTATTGTGATAAAAAACTAAATTTTACGTTTAAAATCTTGTGAAATTATTATTATTATTTTTATAAAGCACATATTACTTGTTAAAAAATTGTATATATATATAATACACATCACAGTACCATGGTAGATGATTTAAATTTCAACCGACCAAAATGTCAATGATTTAAATTTAAACACACCTATGCGTTTGACCAAATATCTGGATAATTTAAAATTGAGCCCATAAAAAACTATTTAAATATGAACACACAAAAATTTTATGTACTTTTTATTTATAAATATATTGAAAGTGGTATTTAATGGCTGTTATATTAATTATTTTAATATATTCGCAATGAATAAAAATTTGAATGAATAATTTGTAATGTTATTCATAATGTTTGCGACTTATGAGACATTAACACATAACTCCATACATATTTGTCAGAGGGCGGCTTAATAACTTTTTAGACTTAACGTTGATTAAAAGAGGTAGAAAATAGATAATAACATTATTACTTTTTAGACTTAAACGGACAAGACTGTGAAAATAACTCATTTAATATCTTTGTCCCGTACATCGCAAGGGGTACGTACTAGTTGAGAGAAAAAACAATTTATATTACTCACAGGAATAAAAACAAAAGATTTACAGAAAAAAAAACCCTCTCAAACTCTCCACAATTGTACTTGGTTGGCTGCAGTAGCTGCCGAATCTTCTACTGGTACATGGACAACTGTGTGGACCGATGGACTTACCAGCCTTGATCGTTACAAAGGACGATGCTACCACATCGAGCCCGTTCCTGGAGAAACAGATTAATATATGTGTGGTAACACTCTCAAGGTCGATTGATCATGTTCTAGGATGATTTAAATGAATGAAATAACCAGTCTATTTATAGATACAAGCAAGCACAATATTGTTGACAAATGGTGTGTGAAAGGAGAAGGTTGGTGGATGGTGGACGACTAGCCATTGATGACTTCTTCATCGGTGTGCTGCATGTAACTTTCAAATTGTCGTTCATTGTAGTTTCCTTGAGACTTTAGGTTTCTTGTTCAATTTGTTTGAATATGACTAAAAAGCAGACTTTAACCATTAACAACAATATTTTTTGACCCAATTTCATAATAAACAATTAATTATCCCATGTATTTGATTTTAAATTAATCTAAAATCTAGACTAGTAAAATTTGTTTCTTACTAATTTGGACAGCTGTTGAGGTTGTCTTCTTCCAAATGATCATCGCTATATATATTTTCCTTGGTCCTCACTACAATATTCCAGACCGACCAGCATGAACCACGTGCATCAATTTAACATTTGTCTACTTAAGGAGGTAAAAAGTGTTACAAAATTTTGGGTGTATTTTACGTGCATCAATTTAACATTTGTCTACTTAAGGAGGTAAAAAGTGTTACAAAATTTTGGGTGTTAAAAAAATACACGGAAATCCTACAAACTGTACGTGTGTTTTTTTTTCATTTTTTACAATTGAACTAAAAACGGGAAAATTACAATGGAACTGAAATTAAATTACAGGTTGAAAAACAGAAAGATTACCGTCGAGACGAGTAAATTCTTTCGGCAAGTCTTACGAGGAACGAGAACAAAGTTGAGAAATGAGCACTTGAAAATTGAATGATTTCTATATGACTTAGAATAAAATTATTCTCTTTTTTTCTTCTCTTTTGCTATTTTGGTAACATACATTTTTTTATTCAAATAGGATGATATCTTATTTTTCCTTTCCTTTCTGTTTATATAACCCATGGGCCTTTCCATTTTTTGTCATAACATGGAAAGAAGAGAGAGAGAGCCTTCTGTTATTCTGCAACTAATATGGGGAAAAACATTCTGCTGCATATTATATAGAACAAGAGCAAACTCAATCTACATGAACAAAAGTGGCAAGGAAAACCAATTAAGTTAGATGGAAACTCAAATTAAAAACCTGTCTCCAACTGTCAACAGTTGATAGCTCTCAACGGTGACCTCTCATCACGGGCGGCCTCGACTTTTTTCATCAGTGGCGATGAGAAAACAATATTCACATTCTCCTTTACTGCATCATCATCATCAACAACATCACCACCCGAGATTTCGAAACCTGCCACAATCTTTCCTAAGCTTTCCATCAGCTTCAAGTCCTCCTCCGTATTATACTGATCCATTTTTTCAGACAGCAGACTGATCATGCTCTCCAGCTTCTCGTTTTCGGATGATAACTTCTCAATTGTTTTCTCCGAATCCCTAATGTTGGCTTCCAGCTCGGCTCGAATTTCGCGTATTTTCTTTTTGGAACTAAAAAGTTCTTTCTCCTGCTCGTCCGCCCTTTGCCGTAGGATTCGCAGGTCGTTTTCTAGCTCCATGATCACACCATTTTTCTCCTGAACTTCCATCTCCTTCAATACCTCGTCCGATTTGACTTTTTCCCATGATTCACTCAATACATTTCGCTCTCTCTGCATTTTCGACAATTTGGAAGAAAAAGACAAGGTTGAGCTCTCGAACTCCTTTTCCAAGGATGCCACGAGCTGCTGCAGCTCGTATATCCTCTGATCCTTCTCCTCCACTAGTCGGTAAAAAGTTCTTTCCGCCTCATTTTCTTCTTCTGCAGTATTATTTTCTTCTTCAACCGTTTTCAAATCAGTCGTGGCTTCATTGACCCGTTGCTTGAGATCGTCTATTTGTTTCTCTTTCTCTTCGAGTGTACGGCTGAGGTTTTCTCTTTCTTGCTTGAGACTCATCTCAACCTCCATTTGTGAGAAAAGGGAAGCTTCGACGTCGCAGCGAATCTGAAGGTTATGTTTGAGGTTGACCTCCATTTGTTCGGCAATCGATTTCCATATCTGCAGTTCATATTCGATTTCACTTGCCTCGGAGTATTTTTCACAAAGCTCTTCATTTGCTCTGTCGAGAGCATCATGGGCCTGTTTAAGGTCGCATTGTATTTTTACTAATTGCTCTTCGAATTGAATCCGGCACTTTTCTGATTCCTCAAGCATCCCCTTGAGCCTTTCCACCTCTTTCTGCAGAGGAAGTTGCAGATTCTCCAGGGTTTTCACCTTTTCAGACAAATTCACGACTTCCGCTCTTTCATCCTCGAGATCTTTCTGGATGCAATCAACAGCCGCCTTCTTTTTATCCAACTGCTTGACTAACTCATGCATGTGATCATGCATATCTTTGTTCTTCACATTCAGGCAACAACTTTTGTTCTCAGCAAGTTCCGAAAATTCCGATTTCAGGACCAATAGGAGCAGAGAGGTTTCCTGATTCATTAGTTCCAGCTTGACTATCAAAGAATCGCAAGTTTCAAGCTCTCGACTGAGCTCACTCAATGATGTATCTTTGTTTTTCAATTCCCCCCTGCAAGAATTTAGTTCGTCTATCAGTTTCTCCCTTTGAGCCTGCCATTCAGACTCTTTAGCCTTGAGACTTGTTAAGCACCCTTTGTGGGAAGATTTCAGCTTGTTTTGAAGCTTAGAGGACGAATGAGAGAATCCCGCCTCCCGAATTTGTTCGTCTTGGAGTTCCTTTAAGGAAGCCAACAGCTCTTGCTTTTCTAGCTCAGATTTCTTAAACTGATACTCCATTTCTTTGTAAAGTATCTCCTTTGTGCCCAAAGAGCTTCTCAGATTTCCAATTTCTTTATCCCTTTGAATGGTCAAGTTCTCGAAATTCAACTTGGCTTCGTCATATTCTGCACAAACGCTGTCAAAACTCGTTCTTGATTCCGAAAGTTGAACTTCCAATTGTTTTCGCTTGCTTTCTGCATGAGCTAGGGCCTGATTGCACATTTCAAGCCTGCGCTCAAGATCCCTTGAAATTCTAGTTTGAGACTCCAAATTTGTCTGTAGAGACGAAATCCCGTCAAGGAGTGCAGTTTTATCCTTTTCCCACTCCTTTTCTCTTGTTTTATATTCATTCCGAAGCTTTTCATGGGCTTCTTGCAAATGGACAAACTGTTCCCTTTTCCATTTCAGCTGGTCTTCGAAATTTCTTTTTTCCTCGTCCAATTTGAAAAACTCATCCTCCCTTGCTTCATATTTTTCTGAAGCTATTGTCCTGTTCTCGTGTTCCGAGCACTTCTTCACAGACGATGTGAAAAGACGTTTAGCACCTTCAATTTCTTGCTTAAGTGTGCAAATCTGCCGTTCTTGCTCTATGTTTTTGCCATCTGCATCATCCAAAGCCAATGCTAGTGCTTTATTCTCATCTTCACATCTTTTAAGCTTTTCATTACAGTCGAGTCGGAGTTTCTCATGGGAAGATGAGAGATGCCTTATGATGGCTTCCTTTTCAGCCAAAATAGACTTTAGACCCTCGTAAATTTGTCTCGCATTAGAAATCTCGTCATCCTTTTGATCAAGCTCTCGAGCTAGCTTTTCGAGCTTTGAGCAGGCTTCCTTGTTCTTGCTTAGTTGGTCACTGTGGGTTCTCTTTAAGCTTTCGGCTAATTCTGCTTTGACTTGGTATTGCTTCTTGAGCCTTTCAATCTCCGCTTTAGCGTTGTCAAGTTCTTCATAAACAACAGCAGCCATTTTCAATACTTCAGGATACTATATGGAGATGAGCCCTGTATGGAAATGCGTAAAACAAACAATGTTTAGCTCTCCACCAGTTTAAGTACTGAAAATGATCATGAATATTTAATATTACCTATCAAATTATAGAGCCAGCCAAACTATCATTCAGGTTATGGCGTCTAACAATGAATACAAAAGAGAATAGAAATAAAATAAAGAAATAAGGAAACTGTGACACGATTATTCGCCAGCATGAGGCACGTTCGATCTGCATTTGCACGAGCCATCGTACCCAATTTAAAACTGCACAACTTTACTGTTTGAATTCATTCTAATGTAACAAGAACTATCCTGAGGTTCCGCCTGATTGTGAAAAAGAGAAACAATCCACATATGTTCTGAAAATTATAATAAATTCTCCCTTAATGCATTATAAATAGTTCGTAATTTTTCGAAAGCTAGATAGTTTTATTTTAACAATTAGGCTAAACAAACCTCAAAGCTTCCACATTTTCTATGAAGCTAGCCCTATACCATGATGTGTTTGTCCATAATAAGAATCAACATAAGACGAAGTCTCGTTCAGTAAGATTTGAAAAACACCATGCTTGCTTTTCAGACCGAGCTTTGAGCTCAAACAACCTAACAAATGAAGCAAACCAGTACCTAATGGAAAGATATATGAAGTCATAATAATATCCTCATCACTAAATCAAACCCAATCCCGACGACCATGACTCGAATAAATCAACTAATCATATTAGAATCAAAATGCTTCTGGTAAAGTAAACTAACAGCATAACCTCAAAAGTGTAATTTAAATTGTTATTCACCCCATAAAGAAAAACTAATGTTTAGCACGACGACCAATTTACACATTCCACAGTTATAAATCTTAGTTCGCACGATAAACCCAAATCTTAGTATCCGAACAAATAGACGAGAAATGTCCAAACCTGAAGATGAACATGAATGCGCAGAGACACACGCAAAGAGAAAAAAAGATAAAATTTTGAAGGCGGGCAAGACGATTACCTTAAACAAGATGTCGATAAATTCGAGCCCAAATGCAATAACAGGGCTCGCATTGAATGCCAAGAAATTTGATTTCAAGTGGGTATAGCTCAGTTCTTGATTTTCTTTTTACTTTTTCTACAGACTCTCTCTGACAGATTTGTTGTTAAAGAGACTTTGAAGGGTGAAAATACGAGAAAAAGGGGAAAAAGAGTTGGGTTTTGATTGAGAATGATAAATAGCCGTTGGGGTTTTGAATTTATTTGAGGGGTTTGTTCGTTGGTCGTTTTAATTGAGTTTGGCTTCTCATCCTTTATATACTCTAATAGCCGTTATAGAGTTGAGGTCCATACTATAATGAAGTGAGTGGAAATCGGGTTGGGGCCGTTGGGCTTTGAGAACATGTTGAAAATCCAACAATTTAATATTTTGTTTAATCGGGTTGGGGACATTGGGCTTCTATGTACATTTATTATGTACTTGTAGCATTTTTCAACTTTTACTGATGTAATGTCTTATTTTAAAAATGTGTTTGGTTGGATGTTATAGATGTGATATCACACGATTTTCTAATATTTCATACACATTAGAAAGTTTGGTTCAAATATGCTAAGCCCTTAAAATATGCTAAAGCCCGGTTTTTTAATCACAACTTTTCACCATACCATATCCCACCTTCTACATGGGATGTGCAATACATCATATTTTTCCTTCAAAGTCCATAAATATCCCTATTTTTTTTTTTCATTTCAATTGGACTCGAGTTCGTCATTTCTCTGCAAAGATAGGGTTTCACGCAGGATAATCATGAACTAGCCGCAAATGTGTGTTATTCCACATCTCCGACAACGGTGGTGGAGTGAGGAGAAGGTGACTGCGTTGCAGATAGGATTTCGATGGTGAAACGATTTCGTAATAAGGAGATCTGTGTGGAGCGAAACTGCACGGGGAAGGGAGATGAGGGTACGCCAAACAACGATATAGTGGTGGTCGCATCGGTGGGGGAGAGAAGGATTAGAATATGCGATTGGTGAGGTTAAAAATGCGGTGGCAGCGGGATATTATATGAATAGGACCCAAAAATCGAGAGGCTGGAGAATGTTTTCATACATGTGATGGTGGCGGGTTGGTGAGGCTAGTGGTGGAGGTAGAGCGGCATAATTTTTTTCTGTGTGTGAAATATTTTTATTAGTTTTTTTTTTTGTTATTATATTTTGACTTTGAAGTCTAATATAAGCTTGTTGTAATTAGCAACACAAATCACCTTATTTGGGGTTCTCTTCTTTGTATAATTGACGGAAAGATGACGCAATTAAGGTTTGCTGAGATGTGAGAAACAAAACAAGATATCTATTTCTTGTGTGCAACATTTGCAAATTTAGTTTAATATGGAGGGCAAAAATGTAAAGTTGTATTTTAGTTATGGTTATCAACTTTGAAACAAAACATATTAATGAGCTTTATTGTGTATCAAGTACATAAAGTGAATAAGTCCAATAAGAGTTAATCAAGCTCAATCCTTTATTGCAACCAAACACACCAAAAATGTACAAGTGAAAAATCAACCAATAGCATTGCAACTCCGCCTATGTTGTCTCAACATAGCATTCTCAAGCCCTGGTAAAGGAGGAGGGTTGTGATAGGCTTGTCGAGCCAACGTAAAACTTAGTCGTTCTATGGAGATGAAACACATGAGCGTTGGAGCGTAACCCTCTTAGCGACGCGCCATATCGGAACCTGGGTATGGTGTCAAATGGGTAAGGGTCGGGTCGTCTCCTCCTCGGTGACGCGTCATGTCGTTGTTTGGGCATGGTGTTAAGTGAGCAAGGACCGGGTCGTTATTTTCTTAATGGCGCGCTACATCGACGCCCGGGTGTAGTGGAAAATGAGCAAGGGTCTTCGCATCTCTCTCGACGAGTCCGAAGGGCAAGGAAGCTAGTCGAACCAACTAGGGTCTGTATAGGTAGTTGGAACGTAGGGTCCCTAACGGGTAAGCTACCTGAGCTAGTCGATGTAGCTACTAGGAGGTGTGTAAATATCCTATGCGTCCAGGAGACTAAATAGAAGGGACACAAGACGAAGGAGGTGAAGGATACTGGCTTCAAACTTTGGTTTGTTGGGGCTTCATCGAGTAGGAATGGTGTAGGCATCTTGATCGATATGAGCCTTAAGGATGGAGTTGTATATGTTAGGAGGCAAGACGACCGGATTATCCTAGTCCGATTGGTAGTTGGAGATTTGACCATGAATGTGATCAGTGCCTATGCCCCTCAGGTAGGTCTTAGTGAGAGCGCCAAGAGGCAATTCTGGGAGGATCTGGATACCTTGATTAGTACGGTGTCTGCAAGCGAGAAGCTCTTCGTAGGAGGAGACCTAAAAGGCCATGTGGGTGCAACTAATGTAGGTTTCAAGAGAGTGCATGGAGGGTTTGGGTATGGAAGTAGAAACGAAAAGGGGGAGGGTGTGTTGGACTTTGCGATGGCCTACGACTTGTTGATAGCGAACACCCTCTTTAAGAAGAGGGAATCTCACCTAGTGACCTTCCATAGTGGACGTCACTCAAGTCAGATCGACTTTATCCTTGCAAGGAGGGAGAATAGACGCACTTGCGTAGATTGCAAGGTGATACCTAGGGAGTGTGTTGTCCCCCAGTATAAGCTGGTGGTGGTGGAATTTCGATTCCGAATACGTGTCCACCGGGACAAACGTGCCAAGTCCGTGAGAACGAACTGGTGAAAGCTTAAAGGGGAAGCGACACAGACGTTTAGGGATAGGATGCTAGGCGAGGGGCCTTGGGAAGAAGGAGAAGATGCAGATGACATGTGGCTAGTTGCAAAAGGTGGCTGCAGAAGCACTTGGTATGAGTAGGGGAGGCAAGCAGGAAGCGAAAGACACTTGGTGGTGGAATGACGAGGTGCAAAAGGCTATTCAGGAGAAGAAGGAGTGTTTCAAGCGTCTCCACCTTGACAAGAGTGAAGCCAACATTGAGAGCTATAAATTAGCGAGGAGGGTTGCAAAGCGTGCCGTGAGTGTAGTTCAGGCATATGATGACCTTTATCAACGCCTAGGCACGAAGGAGGGGGAGAAAGACATTTATAGGATGGCTAGGATTCGGGAGAGGAAGACAAGGGACATCAACCAAATCAAATGCATCAAGGATGGGTCGTATCGGCCACTGGTGATGGATGGGAGATCAAGGACAGATGGCGAGAGTACTTCGACAAATTGTTTATATGGAGAGTGAGGGTCCTACCATGGAGTTGGATGACTCATTTGAGGATACCAATAGACGCTTGGTGAGGAGAATTTGGGAAGCAGAGATCGGAGAGACTATAAAGAGGATGAAGGGAGGTAAAACAATGGGTCCTGATGGTATCCCCATTGAGGTGTGGAGATGTTTAGGCGCCAGAGCGTTAGTATGACTAATTAAGCTTTTTTACCTCATTTTCCGGCCTAACAAGATGTCTGGTGAATGGAGGAGAAGTACTTTAGTACCGATCTTCAAGAACAAGGGAGATGTTCAAAGCTGTGGGATGAGCCATACGATGAAGCTCTGGGAGAGGGTTATCGAGCATCGCCTACGACGAGTGACGAGTGTGACCCAAAACCAATTTGGGTTTATGCCTAGAAGGTCGACCATGGAGGCGATTTTCCTAATACGACAGTTGATGGAGAGATATAGAGACCAAAAGAAGGACTTGCACATTCTTTATCGACCTTGAGAAGGCTTATGACAGAGTACCGAACAATGTCATGTAGTGGGCCTTAGAAAACCACAAAGTCCCATCTAAGTACATTACCTTCATCAAGGATATGTATAAGGATGCGATGACGTGTGTCTGAACATGTGGGGATGACACCAGCGACTTCTCAATTAAAATAGGACTACACTAGGGGTCAACATTGAGCCCTTATTTATTTGTCTTAGTGATGGATGAGGCCACAAGGAACATACAAGGTGATATCCCTTGGTGTATGCTCTTTGCTGATGATGTGGTGCT